TAACAATCCTTTTCTTATAGTGCAAATATCCGAGTACAGTAACTTAGAAAAGGGTTTTGAATATGGCCTTATTTCAACGCAATAACGATGGTTTTCCTGTAATAATCTGATATATGGGATTACATTGAGATTGTTGACATTCCATAAAGCATACTACAGTACTGTCTGTATCTTTATGAGGGTCAGGATTACAGGTCACATTTGTAACAAATTGGAAAGAAAGACCGATAGAGGATGGTTTAAAGGTCGTTCGGCACAAATGTCGTCGGCGTTCGATGTGTATAAATCAGTGGAGGGTGAGAAACGGACCATTTGTGTTTTATGATGTTATGCAACCGTAGAACGTGGAGATTTTTGTGTGAAATATAGATTTTATGATGAAACAGTATTGTGCTAGAAGAAAATGAACTATTTTATATCGTACCAAAATAAATGTTCTGTTGTTTTAGTTCATAATAAATAACGTAGCAAAATCCAAAACACAAGCAATAACAATTCTAGTTTATTTATTGACAAAACCAAAAGAAAACATTACGCAATACTTTCTAGAGACAAAAAACGCCCCTATTCTACAATTCAAGTGGCGACGCGTCAGTAGCACAACAAACAGTGAATAAACAATTCATAGACGAAAATATTCACGAATAAACATCGGAGGGAATATTTTGAGGAATTCTACGAAGCTTATTACAATAGAGGGTGAGTGCCTGAGTGAAAACAAACGCTAGCAATGGCTGGCATCGTTTGAATACCGCCAACATTCCACCCCGTTGTTGACACGAATAATTTATTAAAATCGACTCTTGGAATATGAAATATTCCTTTTGATTAAACACCAGTTAGATGAGCAAACATGCGTTAACTGGGTTGTGACACACATGTATGTTTACGTCAGCTGGCCACGATTGTTATTCTGAAAGTATTGCCTGAGGTAATTTAAACGTTACTTTACCCCACACTGGGGCTTTCATCTTGAGTGAGTCAATACATACCTACACATCGCACACAGAACAACAATTCCAGAATCGTAACACTATGCGCTGCAGCATTTTGTCTAACTATAATTCAGCACCCTAAATGTTTTTAATGTGAGAAAGTTTGTGGCAATCACACCAAATGAAGTAAGGATATAAAAACGTAATAAACTTCCACGTCAGCCAACGAGCCGACAGCATCACATTCATCCAACGAACACGGCAGTTATCTTCAAATGGAAAGATAACAAAGGATACGTTAATTAAGGCTGGCCTTGACTGATAAATTACAAGCGTGTTCCTCCAGCCTGTCTGCCCGAGGGCTCAGGGAATCTGTACCGAGCCGTATTATCATTCATCTCATAACAAACTGTGATACAACTACCATTAGAGATATCTCTTATCACGGCTAGACAATTATGTTTCATGCCGTTTGTAATTTGTTTCGAGATTGATTACACGTTCGGTTCACCACAATTAAGACTTAGAATCGTTCACCGGGTAGCGACAATCAGACGAGAGACTTGAAGAATTTATCTGTACCTAACTTAGTACGTCTTTCTCTTCAAGTCTGCACTATGGGGATAATAAATACATATGCCCTTTTGCCAGAAATTAGAGAACAATAGGAGTGCTGCACTGTATTTATTTAGTCGTCGTTTTATTCTCAACGCCTTTAAAAGTGATACAAAATGGAAACTACTAAACTTATCACACGAGTGACAAGACCATCCTGAATACGTTTGCAACCCTGGTGAGGCTCAGCTGTCCTGTCCTGAGGCAATTTGTCGGCCTTCCACTAACGTGCTCCGAAACAGCCCTTGACCGAGTTTCCTAGACAAAATACTCGGTTAAGGTTGTTACTCGTCGCTCAGTCCAGTTAAATGGTTTAACTGTAGTCTGAAAACTAAATAACGGTTCGCTTTTTCGGGAAATTGGATAAGTTTTAGAAAGGTCGTGTGTTTAAACTGTCAAACACCAAGCGGTCACCGGTGACCGCGACCTATTGTTCTTTAATTGTGTCTATAAAACCGGTACTCGACGAGTTAAGCAATGTATTGACTAATTGGATGTTGTTCAATAGATTACCTCAGTGCCACATTCGTTTAATCGATTGAAATAGGAACGTAACGTTTTTGATTTGATTTCCTGATGAGCTTTCAGATTTTGACATTGTCATCAGTTTTTTTTATGGGTCAGGATGCAAACGAGCAGACGAATCACCTGTTGGTAAGCGATTAGCGCCACTCATGGACACCTACGACACCAGAGGAATCACAAATGCGTTGCCTGCCTTAATTTACTATGAGCGATTCATGGTACGAAACTAGTGTCGAAGACATGCTACTGCATACCCATTTAAGAAATAACAGGCGACATATTAAAGTATCATATAACATTTTTCATCTTTTCACCCGGTTAAAGTGTATGAAAGTAGTCAATTTTCTGTTTTATGAGCCCCGATATAAAGCCAATAAAGTGAAAGATAATACAAGTGTAGCTTCAAGTCGCTCAAGCTTGTTACCTTTTGATATTTTATACTCTAGCAAATAAAACAATCACATGTGTGTCAGATTTCTTTCTGATAATGAAATGTGAAACCAGTAAGTACCTTTATTTAGTTGTATAACAAAACACCATAAAGTGACAACCTACAATAAAACTTTTTACAACACGAAGAGTCAATGTCAAAATCAAAGCATTTATTTCATTTAAACCATAATTTTGTACTTTGGAAACGTCAACAAATACAAAATTAATAATAGTCAGTTAGTCCGTTGGTGAAGCTAGGTAGCTAGGTAGGCAGAATATAGAAAACCCTACATCTTTACCTACTCTTAAATCAATTATAATTAGGTGTTTCATCGAAATTCTACACCCGTCATAACATGAAACGTACTCGTCCAGTACTCGAACCCGCGCCTGTCCTTGTTCAAGGTAATACATAATTGGATATTAATTAATTGTGGGTCATAAATCACAGGTCGCTAATTGATTGATCGTGTGAACGAGCCTCGCTGTGTACCTACTGAGTTTATGTTATTGATACACGCAATGTATGATCGTACTAATATTATAAATATGGAACTTTGGGAGGATGTGTGTGTGTGTTTGTTACTCTTTCACTGCAGAATGGCTAAAGGGATCGAGATGAAATTTAGTTCACTAGTAGATTATGGTCTGGAAGAAGAAGGCGAAGTCGCTAGTGGAAGCTAGTATTATCTAAGGTTTAGAAAATTTATAAGAGTTTAATGATAAATGCTGAGGTTCCTAAGGTACGCAAAAGTTAGAAAACTGGAAAGCTTCTCTACAAAGAAGAAGGAAGAGCTATTTTAAAATGTACCTAACTCGCACTTTTGACCAGCTAGGCACTTATATAACTTCTTTGCAGTGAAGACGACCGACGCAGAAACTAAGAAAAAAATATTGTGATCTTTGAAAATGGAAATTTAGAAAACAGAAACCATATATTTTTCAAAAATCGAAATCCTTTGACCTTAAACTACATAGCAAAAAAATATTTGGTTACACACCCAATGAAATTCACCAACACCCAGCCAAACCAACAAGAGCTCGTTTAAAGCACTCTAGCAAGCAATAAATAGATCTTTTGTGTCAAGTACCTCATTACTGTGGGGAACTCAACGCATCGGAAGCTCACGTATTTTCTTCATAGTGAGGGTTCCAAGAGGACTAAGAATAGACCTCCCACGCAGATGAATGAGATAACATACAGACAATACAGAAATAATGGAATCGAGATGTTCTGTTGAGATCATTGTCCAGTTAAACAGGTTAGATTATGACGTATTAAATTTTTGCTGAACTGTAACGATCGCATTTTCATAATTGAGAATGAGATCGTATTTGAATGGTTCAACACAATACTCGCAAAATAATATAACCTCCAAAAGACTAACTTTTTAGCACTAGCGCCTCGATTTGTCTAAAAAAAACGCGTTTAAAAAACCAAATAAAAAGCAAACATAACTATTATTGGACATACGTCTTATAGGTTACACACACCCACTGGTAGGTAAGAAGTCGGTGGAGTAATCGTGTAAAATACACAAAAAAACAACACACAGCGGAATTGATAGCCCGAATAGAAGAAAATTTTATGAGCAACGTTTAAATTACACGCCACTAAACGAAAGTGAACTAAAATCTCCTCTACATCCAAAAATATTCAGAGGCTTATCATGTAACAACCTAACAACTCGGCCTAAATATACTAAGAGCAAAAACGTAACATATGCGGTACTTTATACCGAGTTCGCGTGTAAGTAACCGGCGCGCACGTCATAAATATTCATTATCCTTTAAACCAAGTTAACCCTACGTACGACAGGGTGCTTAGTATTTATGAGGACGTTTTGACCTTCCCACTACGTCCTTGAACATATAAATATGTTATTTTTGTCTGTAAAAAGGCTTTCGTACATAGTAATGTTAGCAAAATATGGCTCAAAGTATTACACTTTGTAAAAGTTATACATAATTTCTTTTGTATAAAGCAAGAGCTTTTTAGACAATGAAAAAAGGGGCACAAAAGAACAATGTTTGGTAACGTTAGGGTCGTCAGTGAAGGACGATCAGTCATTTCCGATTCCATGAAAATAATACCATCAAAGCCTTTGTGCGGACAAAATTGACGACGATTTGAAAGCAATCATATAATTGACTCTAGAATTATCCACCTTTTATAGACTTTACCTTAGCAATTTAAATTATTAATGCATAATTATATCATGGACGAAGCAAACAGCTTCATGTCCAAGTGAATGACCTGTACTGTACGTGCTTGGTAATTTGTAGATCATTAACCATTTTCAAAGTCAACAAGTTGACGACTTGCATGTACCAGGTTCTCTAATATGTCATTAGATACCTCCCTAAGTAAAGTCACCTAGAAAAAGACACATTCACCTCTTAAAAAAAAGATTACCTAATAATTCACAAACAACTCTTCAGAAAATCTTATAAAATAATAATTAATCTTTAAACCACGTTTAATCCACTGACCTGGTTCGGAGTGCGTCCTGTTCTCGGAGGTCAGCATAGGGGACAATGGTTCGGTTCCTCGGGAGAGTATTCGCCGGAGCTCCCGGTTTTCGGTGACTGCACCCTGCGTCCACGGATTCAGTGAAGTCACTCCATCATTGTACACCTCCTTCATGAACACGTCGATCAGCTCCTTGCCTGGTAGAGTACAAAGAGAATACATTGGAGACTAAAAAGGAAGTGTATGTTTATCTCTTTGTGGTAATCCCTTTTTCTCTTGATTTTTTATCAATAATCATTTGCTTAGATTATCAATAATGATAATTTTATCAATAATCATTTGTATAGATTTGTTTGTTCAGAAACCTTTTCCCAATAACTATACTTAATTTCTTACTACTTCTTACTTTCGTATATTTTAATATAGTATTCCTATTTCATTTTGTTATCGAATCTTTTTCATTTCATCGCCTCTGTGTTCACCGCAGATGTGAATGTGATTCAAGTAATAAAAGGATAAAACAACTTCCAAAAAAAAAAACAGACAATACACACTTTTTAACATTAATTCAAATTTTGTTATTAATATCTTTTCAATATTTTGTTTTGACGTTCAAAAGTGCCTTCCTGGTCTAATTGAAATAAATGATTTAGTTTTGACTTTATTATCTGTAAACAAGTTTAAAACTCTTACCCTTAGCAACATTAGCAGCGTACTGCTTCATGGCAATCTTCTCGACGGTGCTCTCGAGTCCGAAGAAGTTCTTGACGTCGAGGAGTGCACTCTGCTCGAAGCACGTCCACTCAGGGTTATCGGGGTGGACCTGAGACAATAACACGAGAGTAATTAATTAAAATGTTTATAATACTTTTGTGGTGTCATCAAAAACTGAAGCTCCCTTTATCGCCGTGAAGGTTAAACATTGTACGTATATATTTTATTGAAAGGTAAGTCTGAGTAAATTGTTGTAATGTTTTATTCACTTAAGTTTCTCCGGGTCATAGATTACTATACTATGGTAATAATATATTTACTGTCTCAGAAATTGGTCACATTTTGACATGCAACTTTTTTTTTTACTAATTACTATAACAGCAAGCATGTGACTCCTTTCAGGAATCGCGGGTAATAACTTCAATCAGATAGACTAATTAAAAGAACGTTCACTAAAGCAGGAAACCGTAGGTGTTGGACACTGAGAATAAATACAAATAAAATGACAAAGTTAAACCTGATGCGGGAAAATCTGACTTATTTTTAGTTGCGACCCTCAGATATAACAGTACAGGTACTGAAGATAATATTTCTTATTCTTTATTCCTATTGAATTCTTTGGAAACTGGAGTTATCGTGATCTTGATTTTTCCACGAATATCATATCTCTGTTTACCGAGAAAAGTCTAAATAAAAACTATAGTGTTAAGACATTTTGACCCTTATTCTTAGAACATTACATTAAATTTTTATGTAATTAAAATGCTTTTGGATGTCCACGCCGCATGTGATCTATGAAGATGCCTTTGGTCTAAATGTCTAAATATATTATGGTTGTAAAAGTGGCTCTTAAGAATGATCTCTTGTTTTGACGAGGCATACAAAATATTATTAGCTTGGCAATATAGAAATTCTTTCACGACGCCTTTATTTGTATTCCACGTTCGGATGTGCTCGCCACTCCTATTACATACTTGGAGCGAATGATATGCCGATATGGGGAAAGTACACCACTATCTAACACGATGCCAAAAAAATATATATATAGAGAGGAAACCTGAACTTATTAAGTTCAGGCAGTTTTTTTATGTGAGAAGAAGTAGTGCCCATTAGTAGAGCAGTTACAGGCAGATATTTAGGCATCTTTGCATTCACTTTAAACCTCAAAGGCAAGTAAGAAAAGCAACCATGTTACTATGTTACGATTCAATCTCATATATGGAAGGCCCTCTGCAGCTTCGAATACACCTGAGAAATAATACCACGTCGCAACACGTGTAGTAACACAAACATTTTGAAACATTTATGGTCCGGTGACTATAAAACGTATCGTAGCCGCTGGCTTTATGCAAATATCATTTTGCAAGCTTTACATATACACATTTGTTGCTCTTAAGGCTTATTTACGCATAAGCTTCTTAATATCTTGTCTTGATCTCCAAAGTGGTTGGGTACGAAGAGCTGAACATCGAAATGGCTGACGTGCGTATCTGTTGTAATGATGATCATTTAACTTGTTCATTAATTCACTATTATGTCGTTTGGTGGTGTTAAATGGTATCTTGGTCATTTTAGTTGTGCAAGATAAAACATGGTCGAGAAATATGTTTACAAACTAAATTAAATGACAATGGCTTTAATTTATCTCAATCGTTACTATCGATTCCCCGTCCAACAATAACACCATCTCGTATAAGTAGTTGTTTTTAATACTCCCTCGGGTCCTCTAAGCTTTGCTCCAATAAAACTGAACTACTTTTAGACCAGGCAATATCTTTCTACTACCGTTTAAGTATAATTAAAAATTCTTAACTGTTTTATAACTCCTGGGCATACTATTTAAAAGATTCCCTACAGGCAAAGCTAATATACCTGTGTTTAATAGCAGACATATACAAAATGTACATATTTTATAGCTCAGCATCTTCTGACATTTAATCTAAGCTGACCTTGCCAACGGGTTTAACCGCAGAGACCTAATCAGAATCTCATACCAACAACATATCTGCACTTTTTATATGACATTCTTACCATCTAGGTTTAATTTTATTTCATATGTGGTTTTATGTATATTATCTCTTCATGTTAAGTTTAATTAGATATTTTATATTAACCTATCAAAAACGCAGTTGGAATTTATCGACGTATTATTTAATTAAATATATTTTATTGCGATAGGTAAGAGACAAATAAAACTCGGTCATCATGGACATGAAACATAAAACGGCATCAATTAATTTTACGATCATACTGGTTATTAGAAAATTGCTGTTTGTGGACGTGACCTGAATCCTGTACGATGAGATAAACGGAGAACGACCAATGGAGCTATAACCACCTTAACGAGAAGCCGATAATAAAGTAATGGACCATTTCGATGCTGAAGACAACGACAAAAATATTATTGTTGACTTATGAGGTGACAAAGAAAAACATAATGTTATCAAAGGAGACAAAGACACCACTATACTTAGATCCATGTAACAAAGCGAATTACTTTCACCCTCCACGGTCACCGTTGAATAGACACAATTCACAATAACTGGACCTTCGTGAATGTCTGATAGAATACTTCCCGTTTCGTGAATGGATCAAGTAGATACAAAGTAGGTGATCAAAGACAGCTCAGGGACGGATTTATAAACCTTTGTTATAATATGATTGTAGATGAAAGGAAATCGCCCATCGTGGTTAGCTTGGGACATGAGAAAGGATTAAATGTGTTTGATAGATGGATTTGTACATAGTTATACCTAATATATGTAGTTGCTAGACACAGTACACTCAAAAATGAAAGAATAGATCGAGAAAAGAGGATTAGGTAAGTTAACGTAGAGGAAAATAGAAATCAATGCAGGAAAAATTACATTTTTTCGTGTGAATCGGAAGCCAACAGGCAAAGCATGTTGTAAAATAATACTATGATAGCGATAACTTTTATAATTGCCTGTTGTGACAATAACTTGAGTTCATTCATGAAATAATGATGATAATTATCTTTATCATGTACACACGGCTACACATCGAGCTTTACATAACCAGTATAAACTGAACGTTAAATGTGCGGAAAGATGATGCGACGCGACACCAGGATAAACTGGTTTTGTATAGATTGATGTGTGGCCGTGTGTACCTACACGATAAGTTACTACAAACAACGTTTTGTAAAAGATTTGCAAATACATAATCTTGATTTTGTAAAGGAATCTACGACAGATAGATACTGTTTACCCTAGACAATTACTTTTACCGTACCTGAAACTTAACAAACTCATCCAAAAATATAATTAGAAGAAATTCACAAAGTCTGAGATTAAACCGAATTTTGCAATGACTCAATGTTGATCTCAATCTCAATGCAATTGGATAAAAGCCAGAAGAAAGAAAATTTATCAGAAGACAAATTGAAGACATAGTAAGAATTCTGTAAATAAACGAATGAACCGAATTCGCCTACATGAAGATAATTTTTCTCAAATTGTACGAGTACCACTGCCATAAATATGCTAGACAAAACACAAACACGATTGTGTAATCTCCTTGCTCCATATTTTACATTGTTCTCACTTAGCAGACACTTGTTTATCCATAGACTAGACTTGATACGATGTGACACAAGCAATTTCACACCCTTCCGTTCCCACAATATGAGTGCACCGATAAAAACCTAACCAATGACCTTCAGAATGTCCTTGTAAATGCTAACGTTATACCTACGTCCCTGGCTATGTTAGAACAAGGAAGATCAATACGAATATGAACTTAATTAAGACAGCGTAAAGTGCTCTTTCGTGTTCTACAGCTAAGAGCATGCAATCCGTTATATCAATTATAGGAGGTTGTGCGAAAATACTCTTTGTTATAAAGAGGATGGGTGTAATTTCGTTTGTATCAGTGTCGGGTCTATGCAATGCATGGAAGTATAAATTATGTGCGTTGGTAATGCGTTTCCCTTGTAATGAGGGATGCTAGTTTGTTGCTGGACTTGCAAAAGTAGGTTACATTAAAATTCCAGTCAGTTCAGTATCTTTAAATAATCGTATATGCACAAATGGTACTTTCGAATCGCTATGAATATAATAAGAGCAAAAATCAAACAGCCAACAGTGAACTTTGTATCATATTCGTATGAGAACGTAACTTTGACATTGGCATCTCATGAATATTCAAAAATAAATTAAAGCAATAACAAACAACTAATGGACAGGGTTTTAAAATAAATAAATAAAAATTGCCAATTTACATATTAATGCAACAGCTGCCATTTTAAGATCATAAAGGTTTTATACGGCGAAAAATTGTATCAGGTTTTAAAATGGTAAAATAACCATTTGCTTGGTATTGTTGAAAACTGGATTGCGTTGGCGACAAGTTTTCGTTAACCACCTGCTGTTGCCAACCTGACAGTTTTTGTCAATGTCTCCGAACATTGAGGGGTGGTTCGCAAATGCTGAACTGTATTTTGTAGAAAAATGTGGAAGTTGGCAGTGAATTTTTGCTGACGACTGCCTAATTGGCATTTTGACGTCCCCAACCAGTTGCAGGTTTTTTTGAACCAGCAATATCTGCTCTTACATTGAAAAAAATTTTTCCCCTGGCTCATCCCTATTGAAAGCTAGTTTTAAAAAACTTAGCTTTTTACTACTTAACATTGTGTCAAAGTGTGTCGATGGTTAATTATGTGGTTATACACAGGGGCAGTGCACTCGTAACCACTTGCACAGCCGGCTGGAGGACCCTATCAGTGCAGAATGTGACTCATAATCCCAAGACCAGTCCACCCCACATATTAGCAATTTCATCGCGTGCACTTTCCACCGTTGCGTCATTCAAGATATTATCGGTTGAATTGTTCACGTTTCCTCCAGTTACCCGCACCTTCCTTCGTGTTGCAATTGCGCAGTATTTGTTATTAAATAAATTGCCCAAAAATTGGCAGCTTCCCTCAATTTGCCAACGAATACCACTCAATTATCCGAGTCCAGAATGTTCTGATTGAAATATCATGTTCGTTCTAAAGCGAGATCAAGTGCAGTTATATAGTTTATATAGTAGGCAAGTTTATATAGCGAGCACTTTCGAGTTTCTTATTATTCGTTTTTTTTGCTCATAACTTCTTGTCTAAAGTCATTCCTGATTAGTACCTAATAAATATTAAGAGATAGCTAAATCGGAGATTTTCTACATAGAAGTTGTAAAAAATTAGTAACGCATTTTACGTCGCAAATTTTTAACATGAATACTGGAACTAATCTTCGATTCGATATTCTTGTTTCATTCTCAAAAACAGGATTTGAATTTCTAAATGTAGAAGTTAATGTAAACAGCGAGCAGTTTTCAACAATAACATTTTAGCCAGACATCTGGCCGAATACAATTCAAACTAGAGAAATCAATGAAAGACTAACAATATTAGCATAAAATATTTAACACCGCTAACTATATGGATAGCTTGCTAATTGAAATGCTTTCCGTTCATAGAAACATCCGCCTAACACCCTTGAACAGTTGCAGTGTCGGTAATTATCTGCAATTATCAGCTTGATGAACAACAAACCATTACAATATAGAGGAAATGTATATTATCCTTATTCTCTTTAAAAAAGACACGCCAAGTCGAGTCCATGTTAATAAACAAGGGTCTTTCGCAATTACATTAAAAAAGATAAGTAACGGTTCCTGTTGAAACAATAAGAATATTTTAACCTGGCCTTTAGTTTCCATAACCCGAATGGTAGCACAAATGTACTAAAAACAATTACCTTTTTTCGGGGAAATTCGTCAGACCCTCATCAAAGAAACAAGACTAGATGTATACAGAATAACTGAGTTTGTAGTAAAAAGGTTTTTTAATAAATAATATTTGGATAGCAACCCGAAAATAATTGGAAATACCTTGAAACATAATACTCCGGTCACTACACTGCTCTCCGGCTTTTCAGAAAAGCTATTGACATTTTGCTTTTAAGCCGCAGCCGGAGAGAAAAATGAAGCTTCGAACAAATAAGATTAGATAACACTCGTGGATGATATCAAACATTAACGAGTTTCTTGATTTAAAGAATACTCACATAATATTTGCATTTCTCCACAACTCCGACCCTGGCAGAGAAGGTTTCGTTTGTAGCTTCAATTTCCAAAACCCTTTTCTTAAGGTCCAGGCTGTTCTTCTGGATAAAGTAGATATAATCTACACCGATCATCTGGAACAAGCAAATTATGATATTCAGTTTGATACATTTCATGATTTCTTATTCGTTTTTAATAATGGACATTGATGAAATGTTGTAATGTGTTAAGAAATATACCTTTTTTAGGAGGTAAGGAGCTTCAACATTTAGCTGACACCGCCTGGTTGTGTGTCGCTGAGAGTCGTCTGCTGACCAGCTGTCGTCTGTGATGACGCACTCTACCACCACTGGGATCTGAGGACAACTTGGAAACCGCCTCTCGTATGCCTGCAACAAAGATAAAGAATTGTTATAGAGAGTGATCATCACAATATAATTAAATTAGGCTATAAATTCAACCCTCAGAAACGTTCTCGCTTAAATTATACCTCTAGAAATCCAACCTAGTATCATTAATTAACGTCTTACAAACCTACTTTGTGTTCGTGCCCATTTCTAGCGCGATAACTATCAAAGCACTCGTTTTCGTGTCCAAATTCCTAATTCAGAGCTTAGAATTTACTAGTGACCCAAAATAAAGTTCGAGTATTAACACACTTACTGCTAAAATAATTCAGACAGGTCGAACTTCCGACAAATTATAATGGACGTAAAACAACGTCGGACGGACCTAATGGGTCATGAAAAGGTCCCTGCGAAAATTCTCGAACGTCGAAATCGACAAAGTTTGGTAGCATCAATCACATTACGAATGTATGTTTATGAACGGTTCACGCTGAAGGACCGATGGAAGTTTTTACTTCCAACTTTGGGACGAAAAAGAATCAGAGTCTTATTTTCGGATAATTTATTTTCGTTTCTGAATAATATTTTGTTTCCTCAGGATTTTTAATAAAATATAATACATATTACAATTACGATTAATAATAACGAGACAGACGCGAAGGCAACGAATTATTTATTAACAGAATCTGAATAAGTAATGTGATAATTTCCAATTTAATTGTAATAATTGAAAGCAATTCTTAGAAATACGCAATATAGGTAAGCCGATTCGTTGTATTATAAACGAAATTTTAAAGAAAAACTAATTAGGGTAATCATAGAAGAATACTTTTTAATTGGACGTCTTTTGAAACTTATACAAAAGTAGTGTACCTAGTTGGGTTTATTTATATCACGTCTAGGATTTAGGATGTGACCTGTGTCTGATCACGTTGTACAACATGACGTGTGGAAGGAGGCACGTGTCAAAACATTCTGAAACTTCAGAGTTCGGAGTGTTATTGAATCAGTATAACGTGTTCCGATTCAAGGTTTATCCGTAAATCACGTAATCAGTTTTTCGCCGAATCCTTTCAATACAAAACTTTCTCTCTGGAACATGTTTTCACAAAACTCGTAGTATGAGCATTATCTGTGAACCGTTCGGGCGAGAAACCGGGACCACAAGGGACTATATTTGGTCCAAATTTTTTCGGTATTTTAGCAATTTTTTTCTCAATCAATCTCGCTTCATTCATAACAAATTTTACCGGTTTGACGTCAATAATGTACCTTTGTTTAGTTTTAACGATCTATTGTGGCACTTTGCAAACGATTATTGATTATTTCTTCACAACGGTAACAGCTCACTCATGTTTTAAGTTACCATACCCGTTCTATGGCCTATGGACGTTTTGACTATTTTCTCACGTGGAAATACAAATTAGACACGGTGAAATGAAGTGAAACCATAGCTTTATAACTCTATACGACCGTGATAAGTTTAATGGTTGTAGAAGTTAGGAATAAATCCAGCGTAATGCTTTATTAAGTTTTAAGTTTCACTTTCTATCGACTTTATCGACGACTAGTGACTAGGACTATGTGACATACATTCATAGGTAGACAATATCATTTGTAGTTTGCCTTAATGGTGTGTATTGTTTGTACCTATAACCCTCCTAATAAATCTAACTACCTACTATCTATAGCAGTTGGACTGATTAGTATTCATATGACGAACAAGTTTCGAATCAATACCTAAATCTAAGTTTTCATTGACATAAATATGTATTTGCGTCAAACTTGGGCTATTTCCCCACAGATTCAATTTGTTGTATCCTTGAATTCTTATTCTGTGATACTGGAACGTTGGTATTTACACGTGTCTTGGAATATATTTTATTTATACATTGGTTCTTACATTTCAATATTTTATTCAATATAATGGCGTACACGAGGTTCGGTTTCGATACGTCAATCTATTGAATACCGAACGTTGCTTTCTTCGATGTAACCGTGATATAATGAAAATTAATTACCCGGAAAACCTCTCAAACTCATAACTTACTTTTGTTAGTACACGGGATTATTTAATTTCTTTTGACGTTATTAAATAATTAACGTAAGGTGTGATATGCTAAGATACAGGCCTAATTTAAACTTTATTACTGAGAGAGAGAGATCATTTAATAAACATGCTATTCATCGTCCCTGTACAAATAAATGTACTTTCACCAATAAAAGTAACAATCACAACCCTCCCTTTGGCTTCACCGTAGTCGAATAAAAAGCACCTTACAACCAAACAAGGAGACGTTTATCCGCAATCCTTACGACCCTTAACTACATCTCCCCACTATTCGTAAAAGCCACGTCAGGTAACATGTATCGAGGAGTTCAGAGCAATTGAGAACGACTCGCTATTGATCCCGGAGGGTTCGTGAAACGTGTTCAAAAAGCTAAAGAGGTATGAGTACGGAGGGTGAAACTAGAATAGTACATTTTGTAAAGGCGACAAATCTTCCTGCATTTTCCAAAGCCACTTCAATTGAATAGCACACTAGAAGGATATTTGCCTTTTAAACAGAGATGGTGGAGATGGTTAAACAGGCGCTTTTATCCCTCATAATAAGTTAAATTCCTCAATCCAGATAAGATCAGATTCAGATAATAAAAGACAAACCTCTGTCAAAAATGCAATCATTCGAACATAATACTTCCTCCTTTTTTAAGTCAGTAAAAATAGACCACTTACAAGAAACAAGAAAAAAAACTACACAATATTTTTACTGATTACAAACAAACCTTTACGTTCTACGAAAAACCTAAGAAGCAATCTCCGCAACTTTAATGTAGAGGTACCTAACGCTTTTCATAATATTTTGTCGTGATCCCGAACAAGTTTCGATCACTTAACTCAATTTGATCAGAGGCCAATTTCTTCGAAGCGCTTCGCTGCAAGTATATTCCTTATATACAATAACTTCACCAATATTCTTGTACATGAAACCATCGTTATTCTTATGTAGATAGAATACCAATATCTACGTCGATAGAGGAAAATACTAGTAGGCAATAGGTACAAGTCGTGTCTGTATGTGATTATTACAAACACAAATATCAGCAAATAAATAAATTAGATAAAAATATTTGTAGCTCTTATTAGACGAGTTAGCTCTATCTATTTAGACTTAGCAGTATTCCTATCGTTTCTAGATATTACTGACCAAAATTTTATTAACGCCTAACAAGTTCTAACAATATTTTATTCAAATCTATGGAAATAATAATACGTACAGAACCATATGACACTACGAATATTCTTAGAAGCCTATTTTATATTAGCAGAGCCCAGCAGAGACGTACTTGTTTAGATTAAGCCCACAATTTACTCGACTAATACAACATGCGCTTCGCGACTTGCACTAGACTGGTTACTGGATCCAAACATTTAAGAACTAAACACCACCACATGATCGGCATACGCAAATTCAGTACACCAAACAGCACTAAATAACGTTGATTGACAAGCATTGATTCTATCATAAATATGATTGGTAGCGAATTACAAATCATCATGGATAATTTTCAACGATAATACATTTTTTATAGTAAAGGACAAAAACTAAACAAATTAGTGAAACAGGGAGAATAAAGACTTAACATAGATCCGATATTTAATTCCAACCTTTTGAAATAAAGTCCAATTAGATAAGGGGCGTAACGAAACTTAATTTAACTAGTATATCCTACTTTGAAAGTAGGAGCTTTCTTAAGTAGAACAAAATGTCTACTTCCTGCCCTACTTGAGTGCTATCGGTGATAAAACTAGGTTAGTCTTGCTTCAAACAGATTAATTGTTATTATTTCTTAATTATAATTGGTTTGGAACTAACAATTAAATAGCCAATGGAGCACAGATAACTGTAGAAGTATAGAGCTAGTCTATCTTTGAACATCCTTACTAATATTATCCTTACTAATATTATAAATCTGAAAGTGAGTTTGTTTGTTTGTTTGTTTGTTCCACCTTCACGCCGTAACTACTCAACCGATTGCTTTAAATTTTTGCAGACGTAAAGTTAGAAATCCGGATTAACTCGTCGAGTACCGTATTTATAGACACAATTAAAGAACAATAGGTTGCGGTCACCGGTGACCGCTTGGTGTTTGACAGTTTAAATAATAGGGTAGTACTTTTTAACCCGAAAAATTGATATTCCCGAGGAAAAACAAAAGTATTGGTATAGATGGCGCTGTGTGTATTGGTATATGTCACATAGGCTACTTTTTATACTTTTGTGACGCGAAGCCGCGGGTAAAAGCTAGTGATCTATAAACACAAACTGATTAAATAGAAATATTCTTTATTTTTTCATATTTCAAGATAGAGAAACTCAATAAACTTTGCAATTAAATCCAGAATTTCAGTCTACAGCACCACTATTGCACCAAGGACGTTTCTAGTCAACGATCGGCACGACGTTGGCCGCTTACAAAATAGCTAAAATGAATTACAGTAGGTCAAAGACAAGTACACACTTTATACTGACACTGAACTTGCTACTGAACTCAATGTACGTCATTGAACTGTGAACAGTTTCATGAAATAGACAATATTAACGAAATAAATACCTACAATGGGAGGCAGTGTAATAAAGACTTTCATTTGTAATAATGCCAATAGGGTTTGGCTTTTATATTGCCAGAGTTCTGGTCGTAAAACCCATTAGTTTTATTAATAAACATTAGGCATCAAAGAAACAATATTTGCTATAAAAGAGCTAGACATTAACAGGAATTAATAAAGGACAATTTTACCAATGCTACACGAAATGTCGTTTGAAGCTCAAGTAGAAGCGGGCGCTATTCAGTTGCGAAATGAAATACGTCACTAAACGTCACCAATGACAGTTGACATTATTTCAGCAGGTGTCAACATGTCTACCATCATTTTCCGACTATTGTATTACAATCTTGTTAGTTCTTGTTGGACAAGTTCTCCGTAACAGTTAGACAATGCATCAATAGTTTCTTGTGACTTGTGTGTGTGTTGTGAG